GCCGCCCAGTAGCGCGCCGCCCAGTAAGATCAAATTTCTTTTTTCAATGTATTAATAATTAAATATCGATATATGTATTTATATACGCTAATCTCAATGCGTATAATAATATAATGTGATTACATGTACACTATTAATTGCACGAGGCGCAGTTGATTGACGATGTCTATCCGTCTAGATCGTTGCTTTGCGAAGCAGAGCAACGATCGACGACGATGCGAAGCAAGAATGCTAGTTTGCGCGGCGCGTCGAAGCGGCGAAGTCCTCCAAGAGGCGCAGCCGAGTGCAATAACTGGTGTAATTTAATTGCATTATACATGCAGTTAGATTTGCGTATAACTCTACGTTTCTGATGCAAATGTTATAATCAGTGCAATTTGAATTAGTTTATAATCGCACCAACTATTTTTTTATAAAACCAGTGCGATTATAAACTATAATTTATAGCGTCGCCTCGTGCGATTATTGTATAAATATACCCATGAAACCTTACTGGCTGGAGCCTAACTTTGAAAGTAAACGAGATAGCGTCTTCCGGTTTTTTGCAAAATGTTCGTTTCGCAAAAATAACGTTTCCCCCCAGGGGGAAATTGAAAACAACGTAGATTTTGAATTATCGCGAAAAGTCATATTTTAGGCCTTATAAAACTGCGTAGCTTTAACTTTGCAGATTGTTGTTCTCTGATTGGCTGAATCGTATCACGTGGTACGCGGTACAATTGCATTCTTGGAATATTTGGAGCGTGCAAATGCAATGAACTAGCGAGCGCGCGAGGAGTTCAACATGCTGTGAAAAGGCGATCACCCTGTAGTAATATCGCTAGCCAGTAAGGATTGCTGGGTACACTCTGATGCGCCTCGTGCAATTAATAGTGTAAGTAATTACATTATCAATTATACGCAGTTAGATATTAGCGTATATAATTGCATGGCATTATTTTTGCGGTTAAGTTGACATTTTGTTTTAAAGCCGTTTCTAATAGTAATAACAAATAATTACTAATTCAGAGTTGCCTGGGACCCTTAACGGGTGATACTCGTAAAGTAGTTGTTCCATATATTATACAGGACCGCGTCGACGAGTCCAACTCGGCGTGCGTCCTGGTAGGTTGTAAACCTACAATGGGACCCCAGTGCCCAGTATAATGTTCATAAAATAAAGATTTAACGGAATGACAAATGACAGGCTGAGCGCCGCACAGTAAATTCAGAGTTGTACTCTTTACAGTAAAGAGTTGTACTCTTATTTTACGTAATATTTTACGAGTATCAGTATCACCAGTTAATAATTATTTTGCCAGATGGAAGACGTCGATGATTTTTTATCAGCATTTGACATGTTAAGCACTAAGCTTGTTTTTGAGTTTGTAGCCCCGTTCAACATATTTCTTTGCATTGCATCTTAGTTTTAACTGTTTGTTCTATGTTCTAGCTTCTAGAAACAGCTTGCTCCACGCTGTGGCGGCCATCTCGTGGTATTACTAGTACTACTGGTAAATGCCACGAGATAGCAGATAGATCCTTACCTTAAATGAGGATCACGACGTGAGACAAGAAACAGCCAAAAGACAAACGAAGTATTCCTCGTGATAACAGCAGCTGATTTGGTCACCTGCTTTTTGATTTTGATGATCAATGAATCATGATATGTGTTCTTCTCTTGGTACACACCGTGTTTTAATAACTCGGCTGCGCCTCATCGTGATCCGTACTATTAATATTGAAAATGGTACTTGGTGTGTTGAGAACTGTCAAGATATATCATATATCTTTCCCATCCATCATGCATCAGGTCAAAGTCAGGAATCTGAACTATAAACTGGGGTTCTTATATTAGTGAATAGTGACTAAGAATGAACATTTTTGATTTTCTTTCACGCAGTATGAACAGACCACAAAGGGTGCGTCCACACAGATATTTTGACTGGAACACCGTTCAATAATACATAGTTCTTTGAGCATAGTTACGATAACAGCATGCACGGGTTAAACGTCACGTTTATCAGTATACTTATAAAAAAAGAGAGCTAACCAAATACGAAGACAAGATCCGGCTTTATGTTGAGAGATAAAGACTACTATGAGTATGGGCTATAATGAAAGCCGATTACTTAGTTTTGCTATGATATACTTTATTTTGATAATGTAAGTGGTTTCTTTTCATATGATCTTTAAACGTTTGATTGTTTGATTGTTAATACAAGTTTTAGTTTATTGCAATTTAACCGTGGTATCATTTGTTCATCTCTCACTGATTTCTCAGGACCCTCTTGATCACCTTGATACATACAGCAAGAGGACTTTAGAATATTCATTTTTGTATGAACAAAATATAAAGTACTGGATATGACTAAAACAATCCGAAATCAAATCAAATAAATAATTAATTTTACATTTGAAACTGTTAATTTCACGTCTAAATCTAAAATAATAACGGTAACAATTGCTCGTCTGCATTCTTGATTCTGCACGGAACAATATCCGAAGTATTCGAATAAAATAGTTTCTTGATTTATCGCGGGATATCGGTTATTTTTTCGACCAAATATTCAATTTTTTCCAAAACCATCCTGATTTCGAAAAAAAAAAGTATATCAAGTCCAATAACTATAAGTATAACACGTTTAACCTCTAGTTCTGTTAGAGCCACTCGACCAAAAGCATGTCTTAAAGAACAGTTTAGCACTGTTAAAGGATCTGGAGAGCGTGTCTGATATCCCCTCAGCAACACTGTCATAAACTCGGTGATTTTAGCTCCGAGACTGCCATTAGGACGCTTTCTGTGAGACTCCTGCTGTCTGAAGTTTTTCGGTTGTCTCAGAGACATCGGAGAGTGTGGTGGGTGCACCAAACCTCGAGTTGTCACGTTCCGCCTGAAAAAACGAGGGGGGGCCCCACAAGCACGGGTGAGATGTCAAAAATACCGATTTTTAAAGGGATTTTTGGAAACGTGTGAAAAATTTAAACCAGGGTTTTTGTTCAAACTCTAGCCTTTTAGACTCTAGATGAAGTAGATGGCGAGGAGGATGGTTACCGGGGTTGGTTCCCATTTTTAGTTAAAAGTGAAAAAAGGTTTTAAAAATTCCAGTTTTGGGGTAATGGTGATTTTTTCAAAGTAAATTAGTAATACGGGGCCGTTGGGGGGGACACATTTAAAATTGGGGATAAATTTTTTTTTTTTTTCAAACATCCCCCGGGGGACTTTTTCTTTTTCCATGTCGCCAAAGGGTTTTTGTGTCGGGGGGTTACCGAAATTAAAAGGGGAAAAAAAGATTTAGCAAATTAAAAGGGGGGAAATTTTTGGGGGGTTAGGGGTTTTTTTAAAGGGTTAGGTCCTTTGGGGCGGGGTTTACGGTTTTTGGTTTTTAAAAAAGGGGGGGGAAACCCGTTGAGAAAAATAAATTCGTATTGACAAAAAATTTTAATTTAAAAAGTTTTTCTGGACTTCAAATTTTTCTTTTTCCAAAGTTGTCTTTTGTAAGCCCCTTACCAAATTTTTTTATAGATCTTTTAAATTTTTTAATGAAAAATTTTGGAAAAGTATGGGCTTTTTTTAAAAAAATCCCTTTTAGTTTTCCCAAAAAAATTTTTTTTTTTGGCCTTTTTAGGGGGAAGCCCCAAAATTTTTTTTGAGCCCGGGAAAAAAATTTGGGAAGAAAATTTGTTCCCTTTTTTTGGGGGGGGGGCCCCGGGGAAAAATTTGGGGCCCCAAAATTTCTTCGAAAAAATGAAAAACGTTTTTCCACTAAAATTTTCCAGGGGTTTTATTTTGCCTTATTTTTCATTTTTATTTCCTTATTATTCCGTTTTTTTTGTTTTTAAATTTTTTTACTTTTTTAGGTGGGGTGGGTTTTGGTTGTTTTTCCCACATTTTTTTTTGGGGGATTTTTGCCCAAGAAAAAAAATTTACAAAAAAAAAAAAACATGGGGTTGGGGCCCAAAAGTAAAAAAAAAGGGGGTAAAGAATTTTTACAATAGTGTTTTTTTTGTTTTCCCCAAATCAGTTAGTTTAGTTTTTATTTTTCCCCCATTCCAATCTTTTTCTTTTCCCCCTTTAAAACAAAAAAATTTTTTCTTTTATGGGGGGGACCCCTCCCCCATTTGGGTTTTCAAAAAAGGTTTGGGAAAGAAAAAATTAGAAGGTTTTTTACCAGGGATTCATTGGGGGGAAAGGGGTTTTACTATTTAATGTGTTTTTCGGGGCCCCCCAAAACCCCCCAAAAAGGGGGGCCACTAAAAAATTTCTTTTTTGGGGACAGCCAAAAAAACTGCATTCCTACAGAAAGTTCCAGTTTTAATAGGGAAAAACCCATTCTACAGCCTGGGGGGGACATTTTAAAAATAAAAGGGGGGACTGGCTAAAAAAAAAATTCTGCGCAAATAATTTTTACGAAGTTTTTGGGTTTTCGCGAAAAAAACTTTTAGTGTGTTCCCGTTTTTTCCAATGGGGGGGGAGGGTTTTTTTTTCGGGGGAAACAATTTTTGAAAATTGTTTCCCCCGTTTTGGGGACATTTTATCCGTGAAATTACCGCTCGTTGGACCCCAACGAATTTTTTTTTTTAATTTAAAAAAGGGGGGGGGGAGGGGGGGGAAACATAAAGGAAAAGGGCTTTGGGAGAAGTGGGGGGTTAAAAAAACTGGGGCTTGGGGGATCGACTTTTACGGGGGGATGTTAAATTCCATTTTTGCAAGGGGCCTTTTTTAAAAACTCAAAGCTAATCCCGTTTACCTCTAGCCATTTGTTTTTTTTTAGTAAGCTGTTGCTTTTTTCCCCCGTTTTTTTTTTTTAAAATTTAAAAAATATAAAGCCCCTTTTTTTACTCGGTTCAAAAGCCAAAAATGGGGGGTTGAAAAAATAAAAAAAATTTTTTCAC